AGTCTCTCCTCATAGGGCTTGGCCTGCAAGCCCTTAACCATACAAGTGGCCCTTCTCTGGCCCTTCTCTAGTTTATCCACATCCCTCTTGAAGTGTGGCACCCAAAACTGCATGCAGTATTCCAACTGCGTTCTGACCAGCGCCCAACAGAGGGGAAGTATCACCTCCTTGGATCTGTACGTCATGCATCTGCTGATACACGATAAAATTCAGTTAGCTTTGCTGATGACTTTGTCACACTGATGACTCATGTTCATCTTGGAGTCCACTAGGACTCTGAGATCCCTTTCTGCTTTCGTGCTACCGAGCAGGTCATTTCCTAGGCAGTAGGTATGCTGGACATTTTTCCTCCCTAGGTGCAGCACTTTGCATTTCTCCTTGTTAAATTGCATTCTGTTGTTTTCTGCCCATATGTCCAACCTGTCCAGGTCTGCCTGTAGTTGTTCCCTGCCCTCCAGCGTGTCCACTTCTCCCCACAGTTTTGTATCATCCGCAAACTTGGACAGAGTACACTTCACTCCCTCGTCCAAGTCACCATGCACTGTCCTTCCTGCACGGTTTATACCCATCCAGTCATGCAAGCTCTCCCACCAGGTCTATGTTATTTCAATCACATCACAGTTCTGGGACTGTGCAAGGACTTCAAGTTCTTTCTGCTTGTTTCCCAGGCTCTGTGCATTCATGTACAGACACCTGAGGTGACTAGCCGATTGCCCTACTTTCTCAGGAGCAATGAGGAGGCCTCCCCAGTTGCCCCCTCCTGCTCGTGCTTCCTCCAGGTCCCATGCTTCCCCACTTACCTCAGGGCTTTGTTCTCTATCCCCCTGAGTACATAGTTTAAAGCACTCCTGATTAGTTTAGCAAGCCTGTCTACATAAATGCTCTTCCTTCTCTTCCTCAGGTGGATCCTGTCACTTCCTAGCAATTATTCATTACATCATTAATTATTGCTTCCATTCCTTGACTGTATGATCACACAAGCACCTCCATACTCTCACACAGACACCAACATTTTGGTTCCTGTAAGTATTAGTGTCAGTAAATTTGGATTAATGATAATGTTTGTGAAAAACAAATGTAGAAGGGCTCTAGGCACTGGTGAAGCAAATGGATTTGGTTGGCAATGCACAAATATTTGATTCAAGTACTCCTCCATTTCTAGAAATAAATATGTAGTGAGTCCCTTTATTGTCATGGGCTTGCAATCATCCCCCTTTTAACTTCAGAAGATTGACAATTTTTCTTTTTGCTGTTGCATTGTGCCCAGCAAAACGTATATAAAACTCCTTTCTTTGATTTAATACACCACTAAATGATGCTAAACTACAGAATCAGAGCAATATACTGATATAGTAAAATAGTTTTCTCGGCTGCTACCATGTAAAAAATCTTTCCCGTAATGTTTTATTGACACCTAAAGTACAAACCTTGCAGTGGGTAATAGTTTTCTGTAGTAAAATGTTCCTGAACTCAAGGCTTGTATAACCCTTCTTTGTTACTGTCTTATCCCATAAGAATATTGGAAGAGAAAACTATAAGTTTATGGCTGCTTATGAAACTTTTCTTAAGGGAGCAGCAGTGGGCAAAATGGTGGTGGGGGACAGTTTCCATGGAGACCCCAGCAGCAGCCACACTGTGATAGCACAAGGCCGGGGTTTCCATGGAGACCTGCCCCAGCAGTGATGGCAGGGTGCATAGCAGGGCAGGGAGCTGCTCCAGAGCCCAGCTGGGATCTTGTGGCAGTGACAGAGTGGTCCAGAACCTGGTCAAAGCTATGATCTGCAACCTGCATACCCCAGGCAGAGAAGTGCAGGCAGCAGTTTGCGGCTCTGCCCCAGCTCCTTGCAGTGGTGACAGCATGGTCTGGAGTCAGGGAAGAGGTGCGATCCACTGCTTGTACACTCCTGCAGATTGTGGCTCTGCCCTGGTTCTGCACAATGCTGTCACTGCCACAAGATCCCAGCTGGGCTTCAGAGCAGCTCTGTGCCCTGCTATGCACCATGCCAGCAGAGGCAGTGCTGAGGTGGAGGTTGAGGGAGCTATAGCCACCCCAAAATTCCCCATAACCCCCCATAGCCACCCCCTCAGTGGTGCTTCCGCTGCCACCTCTGCCCACCCTGCACAAGCAACAGCAGCTGAGCCCACCTTGCACCCACCCACAGCACAGTCCCCCTCAGCCCCTCCACCAGCCTCCACTCAGTCCCCCCACCAGGAAGAGGCTGATGCCACTACTGCCTGCCAGTGCTGCTGGGGCCAGTCTCCATGGAAACCCTGGCCCCATGCTATCACAGCATGGGTGATGCTGGGGTCTCCATGGAAACTGTCCCCAGCTCCGTGGGCAGGGGCTGCTGGGAAGCAAAGTCCACTGCCAGCCAGATCTGGCCCAGGGGCCAGACTTTGCCTGCCCCTGTAATAGAGGGTGAAAGATAGCTTTTACAGACCTTTTCTTATATGCCTTCCTGTACCAAAAACCTTATAAGCCTTCATGTGTATAAGGTACAACAAACAGCATCCAAATAAATTATGTGCTTAGGCTATACAAGGAAAATGTTGTAACAACATAAATGTGGTTAATATCTTGAGATGCATCATGTGCAATAGTGTACTCCACACTAACAGTGGAATGGGTTTTGTAGCAAGATAATTTAAATTTTATTTAAGCAAAATAAAAGGATTGAATCTGCAAAATTCTTGCCCTGTGGGGTCAAGCCAACTCTCAGGATCTCAATATTGTGCTGTTAGACAGGAGGGTGTGACAATTGCACATATACAAACACACAAATCAATTAGGTGCATACACACACACTACCAGCTCAGGCACATGCACATCCAAACTAGCCTAGGCACATGCATACCTATCACCAATTCAAGCACATATACTATGCACCCCAAAAGTTAGACAAAATTCAATTGTTCATACCTGCACACTCAGTACACATATCATTAATTCATATATCATGCACACAATTACATATGTGTGTGTGTGTGTGTGTGTGTGTATATATATATACACACACATATATATATATACACACACACACAACCCCCCTACACATACACACAAGTAAGTTCCTAACTTGGATGGCATGGTATGTATGTGTATGCTTTGGGTACCTGGGATACTTCGGAGAAGGTTAAGGTGAGAGAGAGAGTTAAAGTTGCGAGAACCAGGATTAGAACCAGTGGACTAGAGAGAAGCTGGCTGAGGAACTGAAGCTTGGGTTTACCTAAGATCACATGGCCCCAGAGTTGCTCAAGGTCACTGGTGCGAGGGGAAAAAAAAAAGCCTGGTAGCAAGGAGAAGCCAAGAAAGAAACTGAGGCAGAAACTTGGGAGCTCAGGGGAAAAGGCAGTAGGGATAAGACAGTGGCAAAGAAACAGGGGGTTTGGAGGCAGAAAGGAGCTCAGGACAGATGGGAGGTGGTGGTGAGCCAGAAGCAGGAGAGGGAGAAATGAGACAGAAGTTAGAGGGGTGAGAAGCAGAGACTGGAGCAGGGCTGAACCATAGTAAAGCAAAACCCAACTAAGGGGTTCAAATAACAGGTTTATTAAACAGACAACACACTACACAGCCACATGAAGTTATTGGTTCTCTCTCTCTCTCTCTCTCACACACACACACACACACACACACACACACAGAGGCAGCAGCAGAAATAGACTCAGTGGAAGGGTTGGACTCCAGGTAGGGAAGAGAAGCAGAGTCCAAGTCCTCGGTTGAAGAGAGGGTGGGGGTGATAGCTACCTATCGAGGCTGGAAAGGAGTCCTTGTCCAGAGCAGGGTCACCAGCAGGGCCTCTGGGTGGATAGGTGGTGTGGCATGGTGCTGGTCCAGATGGAGAGAGTGTCCCAAGGAGTCTGTCTTCACTACCCCTTTTTATGGGGCAGACTACCTCTGATCTCCTATGGGGAGGGCCTGTCCAGGCAAGGTCAGTCCTGTTCCAGAGGGCTCCAGGTGTTCTTACTGAGCATGTGCAGCCTGGCACAATGGTGGGTTGCCTCATCTTTTGTTTCTGGAATGCTGAGGGTGGTTCCAAGGGCTGGGTCGTTGGTCCCAGTATTGGTGTTGATGGTTGGTAGGTATGAGTCATAGGTTACACAACTGGGCCTGGGGACAGGATAGAGACTTGACAAACAAAATAGAAACTTGACATGACTTATGCTAACTTACATATGTAGGCCTAAATCATATAGTACCAGTAAAACAGTAATATAGAACAGTAAAGATCAACATAAACATAATTATTATACAATATAAAGAAGGATAAAAAACAAAACAAATACAACTTGCTACCAAAGTAAAATGCTGAAGCTTGTCCTATGTCTTAGCTCACTTATACTTATCTATAGAGAATAGAGAGGGAGAGAACAAGTCAGAAATGATTGGGGAAGGGGAGGGATGCATTTTAATTTAAAAAGAAAAAAGAAAAACTGGGGGGTTTGCTACAAAATCACTCACCCTCCTAAAAATCCATATATTCATCCAGATAGCATTACATGCAACATCAATATGTGAGATCATAAATGTTCTTTCCTTATTTTTATTTAACCATCTAGGACCGATCAAACCCCAGCCTCCAACCTGCAATAGGGACCAGTTCACCTGCATGTATGTCCAGCAATGTCTGTCTCCTGCTGTAAAATGTAATGGGGTAGAAGACTGTATGGATGGAACAGATGAAATTAATTGTTCTACTGAGATACCAGCCACTGTTTCTCCATGGCTTTGCAAGGACACAGAGTTCCTGTGTAATAATAATCAAGGATGTATCCCATCACTCCTGAGATGTGATGGTGTGTCTGACTGTCAGCTTAATGAAGATGAAGTGGATTGTCGTAAGTTTACTTTTGTGTTTTAAATAAGCCCACCCTAACTTCCTTTCATAATATTTCCTAGTTAATTTTAATTCTACTAAAAAACTCAAAATCCAGTAAAATTCATGAGTCTATAGTCTAAAACTGCATATTTTCTTCCTCTCTACATAGCATCTGTGATATTTAGAAATCAGCTTAATTTTTGCAAAGCTTTTTCTTATATGTAGATATGTCCTGTTTTTTTCTGATTGTGTAATTCAGTAGGCTCTTGGGGAGTTTGTAGCAATATTGAATATTAAGTAGCAGGTTCTTAAGAAAGAATCCAGTTACAGTTGCAGTGTGAGAGCTAAAGCATTAAAATGTAAGGGGTCCAGAACCTATGTTTATAGAGAGTATCTAGTATGGAATTTAGGTGCATCAGGAAAAGAAATATTATGACAAATTCCACATATGTTGCTCCAGATGTGTTTGTGGATATGCTCAGGTATCAGCTCCTAACATAAAGATAGAGTGGTATCTCCATAAACAACTTAGCGTGTGAAACTATGCAGAGTCCTTATCTAATTTCCACCAAGTGGGGAGGTAACTTGTCACTTATTCCTCCTGCAGTGAATGAAAGCTCAAAAAAAGAAGTGAGGATCAGAGAGGACCGAAGGAAAACTCTCTAGAAATAGCTGCGTATGACACAGAATGGGAGAGGCCTATAGAAAGAGAGTACCCCAGACCCAATCCTCCAGGGAAACCAACCTCTAGTACTGTGCTGCGCTGCAGAGTAACTATGATTTCATAGATTTCATAGACATTAGGGCTGGAAGGGACCTCAGAAGATCTTTGAGTCCAGCTCCCTGCCCCCAGGGCAGGAAGTCAGCCGGGGTCATAGGATCCCAACAAGATAAACATCCAAATGTCTCTTGAAGGCATTCAAAGTAGGTGTTTGAACCACCTCTGGCAACAGTGTATTCCAGACCTTGGGGGCTTGGACAGTAAAGAAGTTCTTTCTTATGTCCAGCCTGAAACAGTCATGGAGGAGTTTGTGACCGTTCGATCTTGTTATCTCTTTGGGCAGTCTGGTGAACAGATGTTCCCCCAGATCCTGGTGAGCACCCCTGATAAACTTACAGGTGGCCACCAGATCACCCCTGAGCCTGTGCTTTTCCAGGCTGAAGAGTCCCATAGTTCTCAGTCTCTCATCATAAGGTCTGTTTTCCTGACCTTTGATCATGTGTGTGGCTCTCCTCTGGACTCTCTCAAGTTTCTCTACGTCCTTTTTGAATTCTGGAGCCCAAAACTGGACACAGTACTCCAGCTGCGGCCTCACCAAGGCTGAGTACAATGGGAGAATGATGTCCTGGGATTTGCTTGGGAAGCATCTATGGATGCAAGCCAGCATTTTGCTCACTTTACTAGCTGCAGCATCACATTCATGGCTCATTTTCATCTTGTGGTCAATCATGACCCCCCAAGTCCCTTACGTCCATAGTGCTAGCCAGTGTAGCACTGCTGAGCCTATAAGCATGCTGTGGGTTTTTCTTCCCAAGGTGGAGAACCTTGCATTTTTCGGTGTTAAACACCATCAGGTTCTCATCCACCCATTTCCTGAGCCTGTCAAGGTCAGCCTGGATTGCCCTCCTGTCCTCAGGTGTGGACGCTTTACCCCAAACTTTGGTGTCGTCGGTGAACTTGGCCAGTCCACCTCTGACACCAATGTCCACATCATTAATGAAGATGAATAATATAATATAGGACCTATGAATAATATAGGTCCAGGGACAGCCTTAGGGACCTCACTGATCACAGCGCACCACGATGATTGACTTCCATCAACCACCACCAACTGGGTCCTACCACAGAGCTAATTCCCCATCCAGCGGATTGTGGTGAACCTGAGGCTGCAGTTGGCCGGTTTTGCTAAGAGGTGATTATGGGATACCAGATCAAAGGCATTTTTAAAGTCAAGATATATGCCATCAATCTCCTCTCCCTTGTCCCGGTGATAAGCCACCTGGTCGTAAAAGGAAATAAGATTAGTCAAGTAAGACCTACCTGCAACAAATCCGTGCTGGCTATCCCCCACGATGTTGCCATCGGCCAGTCTGTCAAATGCATTGCCTGGTATCTTTTTTCAGTGAGATATCATTAAGTGTTGCAGTCTTGCCCATTCAGTGATGTTCAAGGTAACTTTCCTGAATGTTCCAGGCTTTCAGAAGCAAATCTGTTGATGTGCTAGCAGCAATCTGTGCGCCAGAGATGGGGAAGAGCCCATAGGAAAGAAAGGAGGCATAAGGAACTACAACCGCCTTAGGGTACTATGGAGGTTCAGGCAGGCATAAAGATTTGTGTGTCCTCATTCCATTTCACTTCAGGTAGAGAAAAGTTAGACCAAACATTTAATTTAGGAATGTGAGGGGATTTCTTTTCAATCAAAAATGGTGAAAGTAAATATGTCAGCACACTCAAATACATTTTTTCTGAAGTTTTCTTTCTGAACAACTTATTTGGAATGAAAATACATATGAAAACACCAGAATTTCCATTGGGATGAAAATTCATTCTCTCCGTCATCTCTATAAATAATGCATCTGCTGCAGACAAAGGTATAATCACATGCCGTTTATCATAAAAACTATTGTACATAGTCAGGAGCTGCACTAAAGTAGATTTTACAAAACAGATGGGAGGGCTTGCCTGTGGATCTGAGTTTGGAACTGAGTCTAGTGACTAATTTGAAAAGAAAAAAAGCACAAGTTCCAAGACATTTCTGTCTTCAGACTCTGCCGTGCTACTGGAGCACCAAATTCTGGCATGGTCAAAGTCCCCTCTGTATCTTCAGCTCCCTCCATCTACCTTGCTCTTAGATCCTCTCTATCTACCCCACTCCCACTTACAAAACTCTCCTGAAATACTACTTCATAATCTTTTAATCCTAAAGTAATACCTTGGGAAGAAAAAGAAGACATTTCTGGCATATTTAGAGAACATAAGTTTTGACTTCATTTGGAAATCTCAAACCCAGGAAATTTGAGTGGGTTTGTAGCTTATTCAATCCTGTTGTCACATCCCAACTCCAGAAGATTGATAATGTTATCCCTATAAGACAGTAGCTAACAATATAACACTGCAAGCAACAACTGACATTCTATCTTTGAAGATCTTGATTGAGAGACTAAATGAAATCAAAAGAGTGGTCAGTAGTGGTTTAGAACTGAACCATAGGGAAAGGCTGGTAACTACAGAGCAGTCATTTATCTCATTGTAATTTATATGCTATGAAGCTTTTCAGCTTTTCATCTCTTCTAGCTATTTCCTTTTAACTTGTCAAATACCATGCATGCTTGTCAGCGGAGCAAATTCAGAAGAGAAAAAGATACATCTAACTTACTAATTCAGTTTAGTTTATAGGAATATTTATGCATTCTATAAAATACTTGAGTGCTGTGTTAGTAATTCCAGTCTGTATGTAATGTAATAATAATATAAATTGGATGATGGTTTTAGCAGATTCTGTAAGGTCTGTATTTGTTTTATTCTTAAGCATTATAAACATAGAAGTAGTTACTTAGGCAATGAGTAGCCCACTCATTCTTTAGTGAAAATGTATTTAAGAAAACAATACATGTTCTGCTTCCTTGTCTCCCATTTAATTCTCTTTTATCAGATCCTCCAAGCACTGTAGTTCTGTCTTACTTTAAATCAAAACTCTTTTCAAGTCTTCTTTAAGGGCCTGAGTCAAGAAAAACAAAGGAAAAGACTCCCATCAAGTCTAACTGGCTTGAGATCAAGCTCTAAATGAGCAGTAATGTCCTGTTTCTCTTCACAATTTAATTTTCCTCAGTGTATGAACAGAAAGCCACAAAATGCTCATCCTGCTTCTGAGTCTCAGACAGTATCAAGTGATAAAATCATCTCCCAGGATGAAGACAGGTTGGAAAAATGTGTTCTGTAAAGATAAAGCATAAATCCCCAAAGAGGCCCACAGCAAAGGAAAACAAACATAAAATGCATTAGTGAGACCTCTACTAGAGCCACCATTACCCCCACAAAAATGTATCCATGACTTCAGAGATGTGTGCAGACAAAAACTTCCCTTTAGAGTTCCCTGAACAGTTTGCTATAGTAGTTAGTTAGTATAATACTGTGTTAATGTTGTACTGTATATTAGTGTAGTGGACTGCGTTGCTTGTTTAAAATGATTTAGCAGTTATAAATGTCCTGTTTATAATCTTTTCATTTATAAATGTCCTGTTTACAATCTTTCTGCTCCATCCATCCCCAGCTTTAGTAAAGGTCTCTTTAGCAGGAGGGAAGCACTAACACCACCCCCGCCCCTCCCTGCAGCCCAGGGACCACTGCCCACTGGCAGCTCACCCTTCCTTCCCCACTGCCCGAGAGGCAGGTAAGTTGGGTGTGTGCACGACATGGGGGTTTAATTGACCCTAAATTGAAGTGGTGTTTTTAAAAAACCACTGGTTTGATTTAGGGCCCCTGTTTCATCTACACACACCCTTAAGTGCTAACAGCAGTGAGTAAGAAATGTTCTCAGTTCTCTATATCCCCCCAAAATTAATCTGTGATGTGCCCATATAAATTTCCAAACATGCTCCATTTTTTGACAAGGGTCATCATCTTTTTATTTTCTTGCAGGCTTAATTTGAATATATTATGAGTGTAAATAGGAGCCCTTGGTACCTGATTTGCACCTGCAGTAATATCTACATTTAGTATCCACATCATGAAACTTATGGTGGTCTTTCACAATAATGAATAGAGATGTGTTGGATACATTGTGACTCCCTGTAATCATGGAAGTGGTTGCAGTATTGATTATATCCAAAGCTTAATACCACATTAAAGTGGAAATATCACTGTTAAACACGTATTTCTGCGCAGTGTTGTCCATCCTACTCTAAATCCAAACTTCCATTCCAGCACTAGAAAGTACTGGTTAGACATTTAACTGCAATGGTCAAGGCAGGGATGATCCTGCCATAAGCAGAGAGGAGGACTAGATGACCACCTGAGATCCCTTCTAGCTTTATTTTTCTATCATTCTATGATAGTATCCATAACACAGATCTGCCCCTTTTCAGGTTACTTCTGCGGGGGGAATGTTAGGGTTATAAAACTACTGTTTTGTCTCTTTCATCACCTTCAATCCCAATACAGCAGTTTTGTCCAAGGAGAAAGAAATATATCTGTCATCCAGGAATCTTAGCCTAGCTACTGAAACATTCTTAGGGGCTAAGGACAGGCAGCACAAAGTAGAGCAGAAACAAACACTTCTCTATTTTACTCTGGGACTGTGAAACTAAATGCCAACTTTGTCTCTCAAATGTAGTCCCAGAACTTGGTTCCTCTGTTTATCACCATATATTTATTAAATAACGTGAGAAATATATCCCATGCATGCTTAGCAACACTGTATTTAACATGCGTGTGAGGAAATACCAGATACAAAAAGCCTTAAGAGTTTGATTTATTGTTAAAGTCAACCTGGTAGGGCTGTGTGTAATTTTAACTAATATGTGCAATATACGTACTAGCAAAAACTGGGAATTTGTGTGTGAATGGCCATTTGTGGGGGCAGATCCAGAGGAGGTGCAGTGGCATGGTTACACTCCCACTACTTTTCCCCTTTTGCTCAATGGCACATCCCTTCTCCTCCCATTCCTCCCCTTCCCCACCCACTACTCTTTATGGTTGACCTGGAGGTGGGGGGAGCTCCAGAACCACATCTGCCTTATTTCAGCTGGGTTGTTCAGGGATCTAGGGCTCAACTAGGAACAGCAGCAGTAGCAGTGGTAGTGGGTGTGGGAGGTACCTTTTTCCTGAGCCTGGTTCTGGGCTGGCAGGGAACACCAGAAAGACCACTGCCACTGCTTCTGTCCCTGACCAAGCCTGACTCCCTGCACAGCCTGAGTCAGGAGGGAACAATGGCAGTGGCAGTGGCAGTGGCAGGCAGGAGAAAGGAAGTACCACTGAGCATAGAGGGCAAGTGTGGGGGTGCCAAGAAAAGTGGGGTTGGCATTCTTACCTGATTTGGGGCATGGTCTGCCTACCCCAGTGGGCAGGGGAGAGGCTGGGAGCAAGGGGTCAGTTACCCTTGCAGTGTCAGTGACTGCTCCCATACCCCTCTGTACATGAATCTGTCTATAATCATTTTCAAAACTTGTTCCAGTATCATATGGAAGTTTTCTGCACACAAATTGCTGGGCGATTCTAGGATTTGGATTTAAATTCACAGAAAATAAATGCAAGACATATATTAATGAAATGCAGCAAAGAACATGGAATTTGCATTTATTCACAGGAAGGCTGAGTGCATTAAGTCACTAACATCAGTCACAAAACTGTAAGGCATAGAGCACGCATGTAAATATATAAACACATCAGGACCACTACAGTATATTTTTTTAAATCAGGTGAAACTGCATAGGTTCATGAAGATTTCTTTGAACTGTAGATGTTACTTAGTTGTGCTTTACAGCTGGTTAACTGTTCTTCTACATGTGTATTTATATTCCTTCCTAAATTGGCAATGTATAATATTTATGGGCCTGATTCTGCAAATCTTTACTCATATAAGTGATGTGATTGCCATCTGAAAGACATCTAAATTAGTAAGGCTGTCCATAACCTAATTCTACTGCGTAGGACTGTCTATAATCTACTTCTATAATCTATTTATTTAGAGTACTTTAAATAGTCCAAATTCATCCTACTAATAATCTAAAAATCCAGGCTAATGTTAGTATGTCTAACTGAAGTGAAAATAAAAGTGTTACTCATGATTTACACAAGTATAAAGGGAGAAGAATTTGGCTTAAACAAAAACATTTAGAAATAATAGCTTAGGGGCAGATCTACAGAACATTTCATTAGATAAAATGTTTCTCAAAGTGACAAAATGCTGTTGGATTTTGTGAGAAGCTGCAGAACTATTGATACATCTTATAGATCAATGACTCTGTAATGAATTACCTGGAGGCTTATGCAATTCCATCAAGATTTCCACTTTATAATTCCTTTAGACTAACTTAGAATTTAACTGAATGCTCCAGCATGACAAATGTCTGTAAGTTTAGATTTTTTTAAACATAGCTTTTTCCTCTGTTTTTACATCAACCATCTATAGTATTTAGCTTCTAGCAATAAAAGGGGACTATATTTATGGCAATTTTTCATTCTGTGCTTAAGGACTGATATAATTATTTTATAAGTTACCTCAATAGGCTTTTGTGGTATGTTGCTGTTGATTTTCCATAGCATTTTGTAGCTTAATTAATCAATAATATATCAAATGTTAGACCCCTGGGATTTGAACATGGGAAAGGGCTGATTCTACTGCTGAAGATGACCTCTTTTTTATTGGTATTTTTCTTAATGTCAAAGTTGCATTTTTCAGAAAATAGAAGTGTATAATGGTAATGCATATCCATGTTTATATACTGTGGCACGCGCACATGTTTTTTTTCAATAATATTTTATCAGTGAAAAAAAAAATGTCTCTCACTGTTCATCTTGTTACTTTGTTCCAGCCATTAAAGATTGCTTCAATGGTTCTTTGTTGTGTGCATCAACTAACAGATGTATTCCACTCTCTCAGCGTTGTGATGGTATCTCAAACTGCATTGATTTCAATCTTGATGAATCCAGCTGTTCAGGTAGTCAGCTCATCTAATTATTATTTGCAACAGAAGTATATAGTTTTTGTAGTTGAGGAGGATTAAAGCAGCAGACAAAGCACAAAATGAACTGAATTTACCCTGATGAAATTTAGTCTGACTATAAAAGGGTTGGGATGAATGTGGCTTATTAAGATACACTTATGAGGACGAAAGAAGAAAAATATTTTATCTGATTGGACTGGGAGTATTTCTTGATATATATATTGTTTGAAAATAAAAGTTTCTTCCTTCAAACTTTTAGGCATCTACTGACTATAACAATGTGAAAAATTTCATTGAAATTAATCAAACATTTTGAAGCCAAAGGGTTTGGGTTTTTTAAAGCAAAGCGCAATGCATGGGCAGGTTGAAGACCTAAATAGAAACAGAATATTTGCTTTAGCACAATAAGACTCGATATTTATTTTTAGTACAGTTGAAAAACAATGTATAAATGTAAAAATAGAAAAAGCAATGTGGCCAACAGAAAATCAGTTACTTCACTACAAAAGTTATTTGAAAATAAAATTGATGACTCTCTTTCCATTGAAAACCATTACAAATTGTCTGGGCTAAAATCTCAGATAACATTGACTTCAGGGGAGTTATGCTACCATAGTTAACACTCTTCCTTTATAAAACAAGTTTTACTAACCCAACCTAACCTCAGAAGATAGGCACAAGACAAAATTCTGTGCTTAGAAACACAGAACAGAAATGAACCAACTCATAGTTGTTGTATGCAACTAATATATATGAAAAGCAATTATATTTTCCCATGAAAGAGACTAGCTAAACATAAAGGAATGTCAGGTAACAAAAGTAATACAGTAAATTCTTGTAGTAATAAATAAGTGGGTCTCAGGTAGCATATCCTTTTAAGTAATTTAAGTAATTTGCTTCCCACATTATGTCCTTGAAACTGTGGGTATCTGCATGGAATAAATTGTTGCTTTTATTGTTATGCTTTCAGCAAACAGTCCGTTTAATTTATTTACCTTAGTACCTGTTGCAACAGATGTAAAAGGCTTTCCCTTACAGTTCCTGAATATACATACAGCTCAT